TTATTTTTTTTCTACAGAATTTATTCATAAGTGGTAAATAATTCAAGACCTTTTTAAGTAAAAATGGATGGTGACTAGCAGTGAAATGTAGGATGTGTGTTTCGTTCTGTTTGAGACTCGCCATCTGGATGTACTTGCATCCCAGAGTTGATGTTCATCAGGATTTAGTAGCTAAGTGGATAAAGCGATAGCGTTTGGAGCGAACATTACTGAGTTAGAGTCCCGGAGTGGACATAAACTCTGAGATTCAGATACATCGAGCTAACGAGTCCCGAATAGTACGAAACGCGCTTCTTGAATTCTGCTGTTAGCGACGATCCATCTTTGCCTATAGAGCTTACGACTTAAGGCAATATTGAGGCAACCCGCACAGGATGCACATATGTTAACAAAGGACTGAACAATAGCAGTTCTAAACAACAATAGGTAGATACAAGCAAAAAACACCAAATGAATTTAAAAAAGCTTTTGTTGCAGTGTCTCAAAATGAAAATAAGTTTTAAAGTAGGTAGATTTCTACGACGAGTAAACATTCATCATCCATATTTAGAGGTTTAATTCCATTTGAAAATTTTGTATTATCCTATTTGACTGAAACTTGATCAATCTTGGTTAGCATATATGCATTCTGTGTAGATTGCCTCGATATAACCATTGTGGCACAAATAAATAAAAAAATAAATGGAATATGGAGAATAATGAAATCAATAGGGATTGTTTCATCCTACTTAGGACACGCCAGCTGGGTTTATGTGCAATCTGAAGTTGACTTTAACCCAGTAATTCTCGCTTCAAATGCTACTGCATTATTTACTAGGCTATTAAGTTCAGATATCTACTAACTTGTGTTACGGGTATGAGTTATAATTCAATCTGAAACAATTTACATTATCCCATTCTTTTATTCTGTATTTAAAGTTGGTTTTATTTCCCATAAATAGCTGACTAAAATTATTCATTCTAGTTCGTTTGAATCGTTAGTTTTTCTAGTGCATATATTTAATGATCTTGAATGAATTATCTTATGTCAAATCAATTGAATAAAGTTATATTATTAGAAATTTCTATTCTCGGTACTTATTTATGTTTCTCACAATTATCAGAATATTCAACTACCAATATAATCTAAAGCTTAATTTCAATTTTCTTCTATTGGATAAGAGGAATTAATAATTATATAAATGATATATTTCATTTAACGTACGCAATATCCCGTATGTTTGATACAAATAAATTGACACAATTGTATATCAGTAATTATGTCTATGTTACAATGAAAACATGTGAACTTTAAAAAAACATGATTGTAAGTGATTAAGAGAAAAGGATTCTTTTCACACAAACACCTTAAATTGTACTAATCACCTGTATAAAAGTATGATCAAAGACCAATCCACAATACAGTGAGACTATAATTGATGGATGACCTTTGAGAAACGCTAAAGTCACCTTGAAAATGTCCATCTACTTACTAGGGTTATAAATTAATGCGAGGAACTAGGATTATGATTTACAGTTGGACGTTCGTGTTATAAATTATATGCAATTTTTTCATCAAAAACTGACATCAGCTATAATGCCGAAATGGTATTTAGCCAAATCGAGATCAACAGTTAACCATTTTTAACAAGTTCTAATAGCAAAGTTACTATAATTTTCAGGAATAATGAATGAAATGGATGTCCAACGTTTCATCGCGTCAGGTATTATGCTGCCGTTACACTTGTTCTTCATGTTTTAGATAAATAGGTAGCCACTATACCACTTAATAATTCTCCCATAACTTTCGTCATCATTCTAACAGTCTTCATTATTATGATGTAAGTATGTATATTTTTTACTCTTGTTTCTAGTCTGTAAACGGCCAAAAAATATCCACGAGTTAAACGTAATTCATTTCATCCTAATAAGCTTATTGTTTGTACCTTATTAATATTTTTCAATGGAAAAAATTGTATGAAATAATTGTTATGCATTCATTATAGAGTTATCTATTGTTTTTTAATACTATTTGACAGGTTTATGAGTTATTGAAGAGGTCTTGTGACTTTATCCTTCAAAAAGAAATTTAACGTGTTGATTTTAGCCCTATATATGGTGCTGAACCTAATTAACCAGAGAATCTTCTGCCATCAAGTAATGATAAATATTTCTTCCGTAACAGCAATTATTTGTTAATTTGTTCCCACAAACAATTTCTTTAGAAATAAAAGTTATTGACTAAGGCTTTGATTCGAAAGTAAACTGTTCGAATAAGAATGGAAGATATTATAAAACTGATATCATTTAAATAAATATGTTGAAATCAAATCTTCAGTAGTGTAAATGGATTTTATGGAAATACTTTTTCAATTTCAAATATCTGAAATAAATTAGACGCCAATTTTTAACTATGAAGAAAATGGTAAATTTTCAATAATCATGATATGTGGACTAATCAGAAATTCCCAAAATCTGTCTAAAATGTTAATTGTCTCTACAGAAAATATCATTGATACAAGCTGAATTGTGAAACGGTGATAATTTAACAATTTGATCACTGAATTAGACATTTTTTTTACCTCATTGAATGTTTAATGAATGAACAAAGTTCTACTTAATGAGTAATACTACCTAAAACAAAGCATTATAAAATTTTAGGATTAAAAACGCTATATATTTGATTATTATATATTTTTAGGCCTCAATAGGAACAGGATACTCATTAATTATTGGAAATTTAACAGTTCAATTCATGAGTCAATTGAAGTTAGACCACCATAGAAAACCTAAAAGCACTGAACAGCCGTTTCGTCAACAAAACCACCCTCTCTAACTGTTAGAAAGTTTTGGATTTCTTTAATAATAGCTTTTTTGAAAAAATGCAAAACTACAATTTCGCTTGAAATTTCTGAAATCTATGGTATTTTAAAACAATTAGTCCCTTTGATAAATTTCGATAATGTAATTAGAAGACGAAGATTATCAGAACTATCTGATATATTAACGCAATACATTTCGAACAATCTAATCACACATGTACTTCTTAAGAGCATTTATATATAAAAATAAAAGGTCAACTAGACTGGAAATGGGGTAAGAGGAGATAAGGATAATGATAAGAGTAATAATAATAATGTGAACGCAATTTGAAACCTAATCACTCTGGATAATAAGTCAATATTACCAGGGTAGGTTTAAGGTAAGAACAAACTGTTTTTGAACACACAAAGGGGGTCTGAATTTTCGTATGGCTAAGGCTTCAATAAACTTTAGTGTACGCCTTTTTTACACTTTTATACAATACCACAAAACTGAGTTTGTTTGTAATCTCTCCTAAGAAAAATATTATGCAATTTGTAATTTGTTAGCTATGATTATAAATCTTATTATAGATTAATTCAGAAATATATAATAAACTATTGAAAGAAAAACATCATTGAACCTTAACTATTTCAATATGTTATTATTAAATAGAATGAATCCATAAATCATTTGATTTTATCATTATGCAATCGAAATAAAAAGATTGATAAATAACATAATTGAAATGTAATACTAAAGAAATTAATAAATATAAAAATCAATAAATATTCCCACTATAGAATGTCAATCTTACTTTAGAATATCTATGAAGATACTAAAGCGTAAAGTATGAATGACATTATTTTCTAGAAAAAAACAATAGTTTAAGTTAATGACTTTTGTTAAAGCAACATTTTATATTAGCTTATTGTTTACTTATTGATTACCAGTAATATATAATATATTATCTTAGAGCTTTTTGTTGTCAATATTCTTGATAGACGGAAGGATATAAAAACGTATAGGTCAGTTTACTGTGGTTAACAAATTCTGAACATTGATATTCTGATAAAGGACGTATTTATTTAACTTTGTAATAGTATTATGTAATATAATTGCTATATAACGTCATTATTCATAATTATTGCACGTTACCTTCCATTGATTGGTTCTCAATATCCACTTATCCAGGCTCCAAATATTAAAGTTAAGAACTTGATTTTGACCAATAATTCTAATCTGATACATTATAAGATTATTCGTTTTTATAAGGTTGTTGAATGTTAGATTAGTAAACCCTAGTTAGATACAATAATTTCAATGACTGGAAAACAAATATTTGGTTTATTAAACATTCGTCACATAATAAGCTGACTCATGATTACTTAGTTATATTTCTTACAAATATGTCTATGCTTGAACAAAGGTAATAAAACTTGATAACTGACTGAGTATTTTGTTCATGTGAGAACATTTAAACGGAAAAAATAAACATTTACTTAGTAGACAAAAGTCTGTCTAAGAATTCGACTGTTCCATAAACTTATTAAAGAAAGTTACCACTATTTAACTTACAAAATAAAAAAAACCGACTAAATGATCGGCTTATCGTTTGTATACTTTTAGCATTAGGCCAATAAGTTCATATTATTATAGATAAAGTTGTCTATTTTATAAAAACATTTTCAGTATCCCTGGAAAATATATAAGAGTTTACAATGATTCTCTTATTATCTGTTTGTAAAAAAGGTGCATAATCCTATATGTTAGGTTAAGAGAAACTGTCATCACCATTGCTTCTTAGATATCATTCCATCACTCCAGGATAATTTCTATGAAACCAATTATAAACCATCTAAATGTAGTTCAGTTGTTATAGGATACTATCACATGAGTGTTTTAGCACACATAGCATTTCAGTTTTGCAAATAGGTCAGCCAATAAACCCTATTGTTAATCGTAAGTTGAATTAAATTTAAAATATGGACTCAGCAAAACATATTGAATAGTTAGATCTCGACGACTACATCGGGGATTGGAAACAGACGTGAAAAAGATCAATATAAACTGGAAACAAGTGAGATGGATAACCCAGAATAGAGTTGGATGGAGAATGCTTGTGAGCGGCCCATGCTCTTTTATTACGGATAACAGGCGTAAGTAATTATATTAAAAAATAGATGATTATTTTAAAGTAAACAGTTTATTCAACTTACCATCCTGACGCTGAGCACACCATGCTTTATTACTTAGATAATGACCATATTCTGGAGTACAAGAACGTTGTGAGCGTTTGCCACGAGAACTTGAAGCAGCGAATCTTGCATAAGGAGGTATACCAATAAGTTGTTTACATGCTTAAGTAACAAAGTATAAACAATAAACATAAGAATTCAAATGAATTTTAAGGAATTTTTAATTAATATTTCATTTGAAATATTTGTTTATTAATCTGATTTCACACAACTTTCGAAAATGAAATCATGAACGTATTTTAAAGTCTTTAGAAAACTTCATTTTATCGATGGGGATGACTAACACTAGCCAACGTGTAAATGATGTTCATGTTCTCACATTCTGAGATGGTAGATCTATTGTCAGACATACTGTACTGATTATAAGTAATAATCCTTGAAAGTTATTAAGCTTAACATTTTTGAATAAAACCTCTTTCTTTACGTCAAGATTTTAGATTATTCACCTTGCAGTTAGTTACAAAAGAATTTTAGAAGTAAGCTTATATCTTCAAAACTATTGTTTTAACTACAACCACGAAAACTAATCACCATTGTTCTAGCAAAATTGATTTGTGGAAAAATCCATAATTAACTTCATGCCATTAGATAAGGATGAAGTATAATTCAATATCTTAACAGTATGGTTAACATGATTTAATTCTTACATCATGCAACCATTCTTTGTATTAGTTAGTAATGCAATATAATAGTCATTCATCACGTGGTTATTAGGATAATAACTAATTACTCAACATTGATGAGTCAAAAATTCTAAAATATACCATACACGGTTTTATGATTTGACAGAAAAACTAATGAAAAAAGACAGAAATTCATGTTTAAATGATGAGGGAAACGTGCGATAAAATATGCGGAAACATAATTATTTAGTTTAAGGATAATTGAGTGACCTTTAGAAATTATTATTGGATTTATGACAAAGCAATTGTCATAAATTCTAAGCTGGCAACATTGTAGTAATCAATAGATTTAATAAAATACACTTTGTAATGTCTTTAGGAGTGCTTACGTTATTGGTGATTTTTCTCTGCTTAGGAAAAGACAGTATTTTTGAAGTTCTACTTGACAGACGTTTTCATTGTGTATATAAAATGAACGATGAAAGGAAAAATTCACACCTAAATGTTCATATGATGGATACGTTCTTCTTGATAACTATTAAACACTGTTCATTATATCGTGGCATTTACATTTAGAGCCATCTAAGAAGTTAAAGTTATAGTAATGAATTTGCACCAATACCTTCAAAGTGTTCAATAGATTCTATGAATCAATATCATATTAAAAATGCACTCAACGAGGTTATGTAATAAATAATATTGTAACCGTCTGATTTAAATGCCACCTTTTCATTTTATTAATAATTTCTTTTTACTTTGCTGCTTTACTGATTCTATAATTCCTATTTGTGCGTTAATAAATTTGTTTGTAAATATCAGTGTATATTAATGAATTCGGCGATTACTACGAACCATTTATGAACAAAGTTTCCATAGTCAACTATATTTATTTTATTTTGTTACACAACTCGTAACGCGATTGAAAAGTATGGTTGAAAGACTGAATAACAACTAGTTGTTGATTTTTGTAATCATGTAATAATAATAATAATAAAACTCAAATTATTCACTTACACTGACAGCCAACTAATTCAACTCGAAGACTAGGATGATTATGCCATGTGTATGTATGAATTTTAACATATCTCGCTCGAATTGGTTCATCAAAATAATTATGTTTTACTGAGTAGGAGTCTGAATTTCCTTCGAAAATCTAGAAAAAATCACGTGAAGTAAAGTCCCAGTTAATTAAGAGAAAAACGTTTGTTCGAGACAAATCACAAGCTTGAACTGGTACCAAATAAAGCAATCTGTTAAAAATCCTAGGACAAAACGCCCACCTAGTTCTTTCAGATTTTCAGTTGTAGTCTAAGATCAAAGTGTGATGTAAACTGTGAAAATTCTGGATGGATAGCAAAATAGAAGTAAAATATTTATGCGACAATCATTAACTCTATCTGAAAAGATTTTTGTATAAATGTCTAGTTACAGAGTGTTTCATGAACTGTAGAATTTAGATCATTAATTTGGTCATTAAGATCTCTTCTTTCTGAACAGGAACTATGAGATTTATCCAGTTGTACTTTATATATATGATCTGAAGCAAGCTACTAGTCTTCAATTCAGATCCATTTTGTTTTGACTTATATTCGCCCACATTTCATAAGAGTTATGAGAAGAAATGATGAAATTTTTCATATGGCAAATTGAATTCTAAAATTAAAATGTAAAAATGATTTGTTTAAATGTTTAACAGTTTAGTAAATTAATCAATGTTAAAGTGAATACTCATCCAGCCTATTCTATTGTCCTAATATGAATTCATTTGTAGCCCGTCGGTGATGAAAATTGATGCATAAAGAGTGATAAATAATTTTACCGATGAGATCAGATCATTCACAATAACGGGCATAAAAACAATAGATGTGTCACTTCGAAACTATGAAGGAAACTAACTGAAACTGAGATTATTCATATCAGTGTTAAATCAACATCTGATTATTATAACCAGAATATAATAAACTATACATTTAGAAATACGGGACACATAATTTAGTTAAAATTTATTTAACAGTTGAATTCGTGAGTCAACTGAATCTAGACCACCATGGAGAAACTGGGAGCACTGGAAAGCCGTTTCGTCCTAGTATGGGACTCCTCAGCAGTGAACATACATGAATCCCCCGCGGGATTCGAACCCAGGACTTATCGTTATCGCGAAATCAACTATTAAATTACTATAATATCCACAAAACCACTCTCTGGTTATATTCATCATATGCTCACTAGTGATAGCCTCCAAGAGATATTTCCTGAAGTTCTAGTGAGAAGCAATGACCAGTGGAGTTCAAAAGCTCTATGTAAATCTTTTCAAGGAATTGAATTAACAGTATATAACCCAATATGTAAGGTCTAAAAGAACTCATTCGAGATGTGAAGTGACCTACTTCAAAGTTCATATTATTATGTATGCATTTATAGGAAAAATAAATTGGTAGATTTCATTTGCTTGTATTACATGATTACTTTCGTTTCCTGCTACGGTTGAAGCTATCATCAGTTCACTTGATCTGCGAACGAGAAACAAGACTCGACGGCCAAAGACCAGTAAGCTAGCTACTGATGCGTCCCAGCTCCACTAACTAGAGGGAGAAGTTCAAGCATGGAATGGGGAAGTATATTCCGCAAACAGCCAGATACAAGCGATCACAACAAACACAACCCAAAACGTATATATACAGTACAAAACCGTCCTTGTGGAGAGTTACCAAATAGCATAATAAAAGACGTAACGGACCAATACCACTTAAAATATTTCCCAGCGGGAAATACGACATGAAGGTGACAAGAGCGCGAAAACAAAGAAGTTCAAATTTTATGAATAACAAGTTTTCATTTCTTATTTCTTGGTCTATCCTGACGATAAATATTGAGTGATCGCCAGTTAGAAGTTATCAGTCCAGTCAATTGACAACCAAATAATGCACATTCTTTGCGCTGCATATTGCCAGCAACGATGATATTGCTGATGGACCTTTTGTAACTTGTACAACGAAAGATTGTACACTTTTCAGAAACGCACCTGAATAGGTTATGTGATTAACAGTCATAATAATGTATTAAAACAAACAAAAATAGATACCTTCTTGAAAAATCTAGATGGCAGGAACAGGTAGCCCAGATGTTTGGGCAGGTCGCTGGTTTATATTTAGTCAATGAACGTAGCTAGCATAATAAGTTACTGATACTTTGACAGAAATCAAACACTTAGATTACTAAAAAGAGGTATTCAATATATGCTCAGAACAAAATATAGATAATTTTTGGAATAGGCTTTTTCACATTGTTTTACTACTTTGTCGACTGAGGATAAAAGTTAATTGTTTAAAATTTTTAAAAATCATCGTCCCTACGACGTCATAATATTCCAACATAACTTGTGAAGTTTTTCTTTTAACTATTCTATTTAATGAATTTAGTATGAATGAGCAAAAGCTCGACGGATAGTTGAATACAGATGATCCCAGTGGTTTGATCCTGACAAACATTAATTTTCAAACTGGATTTATGATAAAAACCAGATAAATTTCTACGTTTTTAATCGATTAATACTAGTGGGCATTAAAAACATGGTACTAAAATATTGTATTCCCTTATTGTTCCCAATACATTTATTTGACTCTTATGTCCCCACATATATATATGACCAGATTTCAAACAGATATTTTCATTTGTGTAATGTTATTTTTATATTTTTATTTAGACATGCAAACGAAAACTCAATGTATTGTAATAGTAGGTATTAGAATAGTCTAATCTATCACATCTATAGACAACAATTCCAATGATAATTAACTATGGAGATGAACGAAAAATTTTTCAAAAAAAGTCATCTTAGTTGTAATAAAGAATCAAAATACAAACAACAAAAAGTCATAAACCAAAATACAAAAAAACAAGCTATTTAACACAAAAATACAACCTTAATTAATTTTCTATATATATATATATATATATATATATATATATATAATCTCCAACACTCTGTTTAAATGTAGGACAGTGTTATACTACGTCACCTAAAATATAACGAGAAACATTTGAGATATAACTAACTGTTCCAGATGTATGTGTATGTATAAATTCAAGTGTTATGTTTTGACGATTGATTTCAGTAAAACATATGTTTCAGTAAAAATCTATAATAATGACTTGTTAGAAAATTATTATTTTCTCGTCTAATACTTTATTCTCATTTCAACAACAGTAGTAACAATAATATCTATTTAAATAATAAAATGATTTCATTGTACAGTGTTATGTTATCCTAAATGATTAAATGCTTTCTTTACAAAATACTTCATAACTATTGTATAGCTAGATGAAATGGACATTTATAAGAGAATTGGCTGGAAAAAAAACATAAATTACTATAGCGAAAAAAACATGGCGCCGGATGATATTACCTATGGTTGTTGAAAATTCATGTTAAACCTATTTGGTTCTCTTTAATAAATATTTATTACATGGTAATGGATTGAACTACAAGTAGATAAATATTTATTCTGTTTTCTATGGTGTAAGAGTCATTCTAAAATGTTTTGCTTATTTAAATAAGGCATGAATAACACATTAATTAGTATTCAATAAGTTCCATGGTTTTATATTAGCTACTTGTAAACTTATTAAAATTAGTAGTATACACTAATTGGATTAACATCATGTTACATAATTGATACTGGGTATACTGATAATCACTTTCAGTGATGCTATCTATAAAACCGTTTATAAGGAAAATGTTTTAAACAAAGAAAGAACGTTATAAAACGGATAGAAACTTTAAATGAATAATTCCGAACACAGGTTGAACTACGGCCGTGAAAAAACGTCAAAAGATCATTACAGGTGTATAGAAAATGTATGCTTCGAAACTGACATCTATTACCTTATTTTTTAATTTACCTATCTTTCAACATAAGGTTTAATATAAGTTCATGGGTGGAAATGAACAAAAAAATGATTCCTAAATGCTATTTATCGCACAATGTAATAGCGTAGAGAATTATCTTTAAACACAGTTACTCTAACTAACTGACGGTTAAAATCCTGACTATCACCTTAACTTTATCTAAAAAAAATATTGATAACAGTTATCACTAAGAATATATGTATTTTAAATAAATATTGTTCTCTCTTACGCAAGCATAGTTTTAGCTCATAATTGACGCAAATGTATTTTAAGATCTCCGTGAATAAATAAATTTATATATACTTGATCCCACTAGTACTAATTTTAAGAAATATTCAGTCATCAGGTGTAGCGTGTTTATCTGATCAGTTTATAAAGTTGTTATTTTACTAATAAGTACATTTCTGAGTGAGTATTCAAGAAAGGATCATGTTAGATTATTATACATCATCAGGACAAAAACATTACTCAATAAATATATATAAGGAAAACTGGTAAGTAACTTACTTTTTGATTGGCATATTGGTCAGTGACAAACTTCCAGTGCATAGCATCATCACTGTAGGATATCATAAATGAAGTTACCCATTCTGAACCATCACCCCGACCCTGAGTCATGATGCCTGTTACCTTTAAAATTTAATGTATAACAAATGGAAGTTATTTTATCAGTTCCTCTGTCGTTTGGAAAAAACGATGTTAAATGATAAATTGGTAGATCAGCCATGGCGTGGAAAATATAGTTTGAAAATTACTATCATAAGTAACAGTAAACTAATCAATTTGTAACTCATGGTTGAAAGAATTGTATCTGGTTGACTTACTTGTTTTCATCTATATTATCCAGTATACTGAAAATAAACGTTACTTAGTAGAATTATATTAAACCGAGTTTTCTTAGTTTATATTAGCATCTATTATTTCGAGGCAAGGTTATTTACCGGCGTTACTAACACCAGACATTTATTTCACTCTATGGTTAAATGTTGGTTCAGAAAAAAAATTTCAGATTTGGGTTTAGAATTTACAGCAGACCTCTTCAAATGTCTTGTCAATAAATTTGAATAAGGTACCTTACCATTATTGCAAAATTTTGTTAGTTAGTTACTTATTATGATTTCCGAACAAAATTCTAGTGATTTTGATATGATATCCTGGAATTAATCTGGACTTGATTTCATGATTTAGCCTTAACAGAATTTCATGGTAAATTGATAGAATAACAGTTTCTCGATTATTCTCTAATGATAGTCATATTAACAGGAAAACTAGTGAATCTACTTCACAACATACCAAAGTTTATAATTTTGTACACTGAATCCACAAAGCCACAGCAACTGAAATTCAGCTGCTAATATTTTAAAGGGTTGGCTCGAAATTCATCCATCCATTTGGTTAAATAGCGTTTTGGCATTTTAGCTGATGTTAATTCGTGATGAAAACTTTAAATCTCAACCCTCACCCTAATCATTTACTGTCAATTCTAATTCCTCACACTGCTTTATCATCGTCATTTAGTCCTAGTTAATTGGCAGACATTCTCATGGTCACTTTAGCGTCGCTTAAAGGTCGTCCATAAAATATAGTTTCATGGATTGATATTTTTATATCATCTGTTTATTAGTACTGAAATGAAAACAGATGTATGCGTTGTTTCAAAGTCAACAGATATTAGTCAAATCAAATATATATGTGGATAAATTTAGATATCAATCTATTTTTATAATTGATGAGGTATAATGATCTATAAAATAGCTACCTGACTCATTGAAGAGTTAATTCAACTTTCTGGGTTAGTTAAGTAACTCTAATTGTAGTTTATCAGTAGGAATTCAAACTACAAATACCATTAATGGATCTTATATGACATAATATTCTCATTTTACATTCATGATAACATGATAATACGTTTAAATCGTCTGCTGTTTTATGAATAGTGATTTGTTTCTTATCGACTACGTTTTCTGTAATTACACTACAACATTGTTAACTATTCATTTTTCTATTATAGTTTATTTCGTTTACATAACTTAACCACACATCTGATAATTACATCGTTTTATTTGATATTCTATATATAGCAAATTGTGCACATTCTTCAATGGAACAATAATAATATATATATTTCCAATATAAGTAGGAGCCCAAACAGCTGACAAATAAGGAATGTCATATTGATAACTTTACATCATTTGTTTTATTAATTTCCTACACATTAGAAAATGAATATTTGTTAAAAGTGAGCACAAACTTGTTAGAAAGTAACTAAATATTTAGTGGTTCGCATTTTTGTTTATAATAAGTAAATTAAGTTTGCTGATTATTTGAAAAACACTTTAACCTTATTAACTACCGTATAAATCAAATCACTTTGCGTATTGTTCACACTGATGCATCTATAGTTTCAGAGAAGAAACTTCAAGTTACTCCTAACTAATAAAGTTAGTGTTTTACATACTTTAGTCTTTCAAAAACGGTACATATTTATGATTATTCAACAGTGTCTTTAAGTGAACGACTAAGCTGACTGACTGGTGTAATTACTTATAATCTAATGTCTTTATATGTAATCAGTAACAAAATAAAACTTGAGAGTGAGATGGTAGAGATTTGTAGCTCAGGTGGATGATTTTGATGGAAGTTTGTTCTCTGAGCTGGATGGTTGGGTCGTGGAGCTTTCATCGTTCTTCTGAACGACGTCATCAGCACAAACTTAAGAATTTCCCCGTATGTATACGTCGTTCAGAAGAACGATGAAAGCTCCACGACCAAACCATTGAGCTCAGAGAACAAAACTCTATCAAAAACTTGAGAGTTTATCTAATCACAATTCGCTTCAACTTCATTTAACAAAGGTAACACAATTAAAAATCGTTTTGATCTTAGTTAAAAAGTATAACCTATAAATCATGATGAATTTATGTTATTTAGGCAATAAATGTGGATTTGTGATAAATTCTAGTAAATACATAATAGATCATAGAGGTCAGATGAACCTGATATTAATAAACTTTTAGGTTTCAGAAGAAAATTTTAGCGGTGGCACGTTATTCCAGTCTTATTTACAACAATTAGCAGCAAATTACGTATAGGACAGCATTAGTTTGAGACCTCTTAATATTGTGATCCCTACTACATATCAAAAGGTTTTCTTTGTTAAATCGTAACTTATGTATCTTACTCAATTCAAACAGTTTGATACTGATCAAACAATGATGATACCTTCAATTAAACGAATATTTTAAATGAAAATGACACATTAAAAGTTTTGCTCAAATTATAATTTTAAATATGAACGTAAATTCTTGTTAATCAGATGAAAACAAAATAATAATAAATAAAAACATATTTGTAATATCGGAATGAATTAAAACTGAATAGTTGGAGTTTCTAGACCCAGAATATGCTTCCCATCTAAAGAACCTAAAATCTTTTTCGAGTCATTGCTAGTTTTAGTAATATAATAGGTGAACTACAAACATGATACATAAGAACAGATTTGACCATATTGATACGTAATTAAAATCTAAGACGATTCTATGAGTGACATCTTAATGCATATGTATGCATGTGAAGAGCTGTGTAGAAATTTGATGTTTTTAGTATGAATGAGTAATTTTATTTAACATGATTCTAAACAAATTCTTTTACCAAGAGACATTATACACATTGATTGCAAGAAAAAGTATTGAATTTTAGCAATGTATGTTCTTGATCTATTCAACTTTCTTTATAGTTAAAGTATCAAGCTTTGTTGATACAATGCACTGAATATAATAGACTTGTTTTTAAGTATACACTATGGTGGAAATTCATTCAGATATGTGTCTAATATTATAGTTGTATCTTTTCAAACTTTATTTTCTTTGTTATGAATTTGATTATGGATATGCTTACCAATTTACACTCACTATACATATTGTTTGAATAACAAAACTTTAATCGTTATTCAGTCAGTCAACTGATAAACTGTGATAATTTCAAATTAAATGCATAATACTGTCGGCTTTTTATAAAATTTACATTACATGATATATGTGTTACATTTATACGGTAGTAAAAGACATTAATTTTTTTTTCCAAATATATTTATGAAGTAACAAAAAGAAATGTAACTTGTAATAATAATAAATAGAATATTAGACATGTATTATCCATTTCACCGATCAATAAAAAAAAACATTTTATTACTATGCATGAATGAACTTTTAGTCAATCAACATAACATTGTAATAGTATATTTTGCCAAGATAAAAGTTATCTAATATTATAGATTGTGTTATTTTATTTTATTTTTTTATTTTCAGTAAAATAAAATGATTTGCCATATTTTAAAATACATGGAGAATTAATCTTATCTAAGTTTTCTTTCTTTTTCTTTTTTCTCTTCTTTTTTTTGTTTTAAAACTACATTAACAAAATTGTTTCTAAAGTAATAACATCTAGAGCAATTAACATTTTAACATGAAATGATTAAACATGAAAGTTACTACTAATAGTCATGAGAAAAAATAATGATAATAGTAATAATAAACGGGTAAAAATCTGATCACATATGTCTTTTGTGAAAAACAAAAACAAAAAACTAAACAACAACGGAGAAAACTATTCAAATAATGATCTTCAATTATACAGATCCATAAATGAGATCAAGTTACTATGATAGTTTTTTGGTAATACAGAAATATTTTTAATCAAATATTCACTTTTGTTGCTGTTGTTTAGAATTCAACTGACGTTTATTAAATAAGAGTGAAGTTTAATTAATGACTATAGAGTAAATTTATATTTTTGAATGGAAATTAAAAAGGAATAAAAAAATAGGTTTCATATTGTTTAAATGTAGAACAGTCACGATAGTAATAATAGTTTTTTTTAGTTCATTATTTAATTCTTAACCGGTAGCATAGTGAAATGATGGTTCAGTTAATTGATTTGCACTTTGTGAAATAAAAAAGACGAGAAAAAAACTTTGGAGAAAAAAAAGGAAAGTGAGATAAAATAAGTCGTAAAAATAAGTTTTCAATTTGATATCTTCTTATGTATAATAATTATGTCGTATTTTTTGCAATAGTGAACAATACTACATTGGTTGATTTCCTTTCTGTAGGCGATAGGATTTAAAAACTATATTAGAAATATTTAAAGAACATGAGCAGATAATTATTGGGGTTATTTTGTAAAATTTAACACTAATTAGTAGCAGTAGTATCAGCTATTTCCCCTGTAATTTCCCATTTGGTTTTTTTAGAAACATAATTTTTCAAATAAATCTAATATTTGGTATCATGTTTCATTAAAACTTTAATTCCGAGACTGTTACTGTCAACCACTCTTTATCATAGTTTCGATTACTCAAATATATGTGAATATGGAACACTCTCAGACCATACCTGGCACACAATCCAGGTGAAATATAAAATAATAACATAAAATAAATGATATTTGAAAATAATTATGTTCATGATTATACATAAAAAACTACCAGATTTCTAGAAAAATTTCTTGAATAATGGCACTGGTAAACATAATAAAAAATGAAGGCCCCCGTCTACGGATTTATTGCTGAATAAATCTGAGATACTGAAAAATAGGAGATTGTTATGAAGGTGCACACTAAAAGTGTACAGTTTGATAGATTTTACTATACCTGACAATAAATTTAAGTTTTGTGCATAAAAATTTTCATATTATGATAGTATACAGTAATATTTGACATGATTTTTATAAATTATAAGTGAATTATTGAAAGAGCCAGTGGGCATGATCGGTCAGTGCATTCCAAAAAACGTTTATTATTTAGTAGGAGTGTGATGGCCAAACCATTATACAAGCGATTTTCACAACCTGTTCTATTTTTTCGGTGATTATGGAAGTTCGTTGAATAGATGACTTACACAGGAAGTGTTTAACATTTCTCCTTGCAAAGATAATTTATCGATTTAATTTCTGTGATCTATTGAGATCTGTTTGTCAATGAATGATGTCGGCTGAAGAACAATGGATATCAAGCATCACTTGAAAAGTCACTTCGTCCTTGTTGTGCATATCAAAGACTGCTTTTTTGTTTATAAACCATAAATTATCGTTTTCTTGTACATTTCTGTACTCTTAGACTACCGGATCAAAGTCTGTTGAAGATGTTATTTACCATCACCCAATGCTTAATCTCACTTCACTGACTGTAAAGATCATAATGTTTTAGCGAAGATCTGAATAAGTGATCTGATATCCGTTAATCTCACATTGAAGTTCAGAGAGCGTTAAAAAGTATTTTAACTGAAGTGGCGACAAAATCTTATAGGTAAAGTGAAGGTATTTTAGTTTAAAATTAAAGTGATATCGAAATAGATTTTTAGTGCTCAAGCTATATTAATACACACTTTATAGTAGTTTACCACAGATAAGAAAGGAAATAGTTCTAAACTCTAAAACAGAGTAAACAATTTAATGAACAAACGGTATAAAAGCGGCCGAAAGGTGTTCAGAACTATATAGGATTGAATAATTGTTTCATTCAAGTAGAGTAATACCCAAAACATCGAATCCTGTAGCCTAAGATAGTACCTCTCTGTATTAGATTTTTTAAATTAAAAATGTGAACGAAATAACTAAGTTTAGAGTTAATTGTGTGATAGTAACCCATTCTCTGCTTGTCTTGAGCCCATATTTACCGACAAATGATCAAGTCCCACATTAAAATAAAAAACGTAATCAATGTTTTTCTTCATTTTACCATGGATCATGGTTTGATATCACCGGTGACACAAACCAACATTCATCTAAAATAAATTCTACAAGCCTTTTAGTTAAATAATTTAGTAACCTGAGGTTTTTGTAGACTATGGAAAATTATTTATTTTTAATTGTATTACTCAGTGATACGAACGGCTTATCTAATAACCACATGAAAATAATGTAAACAAAAACATCTGAAACTGTTATTTATATTCACTGACGTAACTAAAATAGTATGTTTTACTAGGTCCAATTTAGATTAGAAAAGTTAGTTACACTTATTATAGTGAATCACTGAAAACAAGTTAAGACATTTAGATTTACTACAGATTTAAATGTGATCATATTTCATTGATCATTAGTTACAAATAGATTTAACTCGCTAGGCGAGTGGTATTTTAATACATTATGAACTTCAAATATGAGCTTCGAAGATGTGAATCTGAATAGATCATCAGTGAATGATTGTTTGTGGAAAACATAATGATTTGGTAGATTTCACATTTTAAATGTTTATTCATCGTAAATTAATTTATAAACAAATAAAGAAGTATCTGTTTTGACGTTTTGCTTCTAGTCATATTACAGTCGTTTATAAGTGAAAGGTATTAATAATAATTTTAGAAAAGTTTAAGCTAAGCTAACGCTAAACTGTGTCGGGTAGAGACAGATATCTAACTCAGTACAATAGAAGACCGTCGTGTAATTTCGTGGATTGGTTCATGTTAGACACTAGCACCACTGGATGCCGGTTCAGTGGTTCAGTAGATTAAGCAATCGTGAGTGAAAATGAAGGCTCAAAGTTCGAATCTCGCGAGCGGGATCGTGGATGTGTACTGCTGTGGAGTTTCACAATAGGACGAAACGGCCGCCCAGTGCTTCCAGGTTTCCAACGGTGATCTAACATCAATTAGTTCATGATCTCAATCAAAAACATAATAATCTCCACTACCCCTATACTGTTAATCATTTTCTGTAAGACAGAAAAACGAACATCATTCACATAATAATATTACAATAAGTTTACCCTACTAAGTTTTTCAATAAACTTTCCACAATTAAATAAATATAGTTGCAACTAAATGAATACTAAAATTGTGTTAATGTAATCCTTTAAACATCAAATAACATCTTTATTTTGGTCTAATTTAATACAACGTAACAAAGAATTGATATTAATCCTACATATTTACTTGATGTCTTCTTTACCTTCACTTTTTTTCTCTCTGAATATAGGCATTAAGTTAGATATACCAAACCTGATTGTTTAAAGAAATATAATAATGGACACAAACTACCTAGGAATTTATGATTCCTACGATCATCAGAAATAATAAGTAGTCTCTTTTTTTGTTGTTGAGATAATCAACTATCTATATAATTAGTTTTCTAATTAAAATTAAAGAGAACAATCAATTTAACTGAGACAAATTTTCGTCATTCAAAATTCATATAAACATTTCTTACACAAAATATTCACTTACTAATGCTTGTACACCTAAATCAATTTGAAGCCATTCTGAAGAGGATTTAAATTTTGCACACCAAGCTAAACCATTTGTTCGAAATAAGCGTGCATTTTTTTCTTCACATCCTTTCACCAAACTGGATGGATAAGTTGAAGATGAAGTAATCTGCCAATCGGCAATTGTACCTGATATCATACCTAGTGGATCATCATTTTCACATTCTTTGTTTAAAACTAAAAACAAACATAAGAATTAAATTAAATGTAACTTTTAAATATGTACATTAGTTATTAGTGAAAAACGTCTAGGGAAATTACAAATGATTGATTTATAAATAAAATACACAGTTATCACAATTCTTAAACTGTCGTATATTCCACAGTTATATTAAATATTTAATTGATCAGTAGTGTGAACCTAGAGCGTTACTGGTTTTCTGTCAGCATAAAATACAATTCCTTAATGTTAACCATTATTGAATATTAACGTTTATAAACACTAATTTAATAAGTATTTTAGTGAACGAACACTCAAGTGGGAAGAACCAATTTAGTGTTAACACCAAAATTACAGTCTTCATAAAACCTGAAAACCATACATTAAATACTTCATTTGCACATCAAACAATTGTCCCTCACAAACTTTACCGTTCCTTCACTCCTGTTGTTATTACAATTATTATTTGTTCACATTACGGTTCTCTTCAATGTGGTCCTCTAAACCGACTGCTATCAGGCATTTCACTTCTGATTTTGGTAACAACCTATTTATGTCTGCCAACATAAATAGCATACAACACAGTATAATTGTACTGAGATTCTCAGAATATCAAATGTAAGTTCATTTTCAGTTTTATTACCACTAAGTATAATGAGAAAGCGCGTACAGAAAACTACAAAAAATCAATACTTACTTCATGATAAGTATAATGTAGAAAAACTGTTGGTTGTGAAGAAGCGAAGCGAATTACAATATCAGTATCGAGGTTGCGAAGATTATTAAGTTTTTGATTGAGATCATGAACTAATTGATGTTGGACCACCATTGAAAACCTGGAAGCACTGGACGGCCATTTTGTCCTATTGTGGAACTCGTCAGCAGTGCACATCCACGACCCCGCTCGAGGGACTCGGACCCAGAGCCACCAGTCTCGAGCGTGAACGCTTGAGCTGCTGGATCACTGAGCCGTCCGCTGCTTCTAGGTTTCCAACGGTGGTCTAACATCAATTGGTTCATGATCTCAATCAAATTACAATAGTTTCTCCCTGAAGAATATTTTGGTATTTGTATGATTTCAAAATCAGAAAAAAACAATGGCCAAATCGTCAAAAAAATCTAGTTTTTTATATAAATGTGATCATTCAAATGCATACATAGTCTCAAAATTCTAAATGAGGGAAAAAACATTATTTCAACTCGTCAAAAATCTGAATGATAATATAACAGTTATAGTAGAATATTTTGAATGAAACTTAATAAAATGAAAACACTCGGTTAATATTCAAGTAATACCTCCATTAAACTATCAAGATTTACAACGTATTAACAATTTACTAATATTACGTAATTTTGTTGATTACACACTATTCAAAAAAATTTTTTATTTTAAATTTTGGATAAGTGAATAAAGCTTAATATGGTAATCTAAAATATGTTTCAAAAGATAGTCACAGTATCTTCTTGAAATACAAAATATTTTATACTGTGAAAGATAAATTATAAATAGCTAGATATTGTCAAGTTTGCGATTACCATGGAGATCTTTTAAAAAAAAGACCGGTATCCACTGTTTCACGGTGATTATATTTAGGCTTCTAACGTTTAAAGAAGAAAACCATGTCGGAAATATAGAAACCATATGTAATTTACATGGAAGGAAAATTAACAACGAATATAGAAAATTAGTCGACTTCACTGAAATTGACAACTGATACCATAGTACAGAACAGAAAACTTGGTTCTCAAATCTGAAAAATAATTACTGAACAGCCATCATATAAAAAATAAGTTTTGAATAATTTCAAGCATTCTGTTTTTCATTCTTTCTCATATATGGCTGTTTGAAAGAAATCATTTCAGTTACATTTTTCTTAATTCATGTCATATTCATACAAATTATAAAACCGAATGTTTTCACTAGCATTTCGTACATACTGAGCCGTTTTGTTGCCTAATCTATTGCTCTACATCACGCCAACATTTTGTTTTGGTCTACTACGTTTTGGATTCCAAAACTTGCCGCTTAATTAAAAATTATATCCTCTATCATTAATGTAAAAAACTTAAGACATAATCAATTTGAAAAGTGTTTAGATTTGCAGCAAAACTGATTACATTTACACTGTAACCGATTTTTAAATGAACGGTATTCATCTTTGTTTCGGTATCCAAGTCCTAGGCAAATATAAAAGCAACCTATTAAATACTAAGCAATCATCCGTAAGTCAAATGATATATTTTGTTAAGATTATTGACTCACTTAGCTGCATGGGACTAGAGAAAACTATCATGCTTTATATACTTTGCTAGTTAGTGATACTGGGCTATTGTTTCACGACTCAAAAATTGTGAAACAATCAATCAAAATCGAATTTTTCCCAACTAACTCAAACTTCAGATTACAAATAACTTGATACATTTCCTATTTACAAATTACTTTGTGCAGTAAACACAAAATGATTTTGTCAAGTAAGCTTTCTTCATTTAGTACATAAGTAATTCATGCATTCAGTACACTACTCACGAGCTAACAGAGTAACAACAGTGTGATGTGCTTCCTATGAATTCTAGTTGAAAAGTTTTATTACTGCTTCTTTTATAAAGTGAACATTCACATTTATTATGAAGTCATACTTCGATTTACCCTGCTAAAGCAGTGTAAAAAAACTATTCAACTAATGGTTGTAGAAATAAATAACATACTAAGTACTGAAAAATACAAGTTATACATTGTGCAACGTATATACTATGAGTCTATATGCCAGATTTAAGTGCAGATTCATGAACATTTTATGTAATATCTGACGAAATTAAATAAATAGTTATTTTAGGCTTCATTTAGATCAAGCTTTACTTGTTAGTAAAAGAAACTTCATTACAACACAAAACATTATAACAATATAATAACTTAATAATTGAATTCATGAGCCAATTGAAGCTAGAACAACATGGAAAGCCTCAAAGCACTGCACGGCAGTTTCGTCCTATTGTACGACTCCTCAGCGGAGCGCGTCCACGATACCGCACAGCCAGTTTCGAATCCAGGATCTATCAGTCTCCCATGCGAACGCTTAACCTCTAGACCACTGAGTCGACCGAGGTCTAACTGTTCTAATATCTAACTTCAACTGATCCGTGAAATTGAAACACTGTTTACCATTGTCTTCAGTGATTCACTATCATAACTGATGCAGTTGAACTCCACTGGCCATCGCTCCTCACTAGAACTTCAGGAAATATCTCTTGGAGGCTATCACTAGTGAGCATATGATGATTATAATCAGAGAGGTGATTTGTGGATATTATAGTAATCTAATAGTTGAATTGACGAGTCAATGCTTTTACGTTTTCCATGGTGGTCTAGCTTCAACTGACTTAAAAATTCAACTATTATATTCCTATAATATCCATAAAACGCTTTCCTAATTAAAAATATAATAAATCAATGTAACAGCTTTCAATAAACCTAAACGTTAATCAATTAGCAACTAAAATAATTCATGATATATTTTCTAGTAATAAATTTAACTCACTAAAATGTCTGAGTGTAAAGAAAAATATCATGCCTTATATACTTAATTACTTAGTGATATTGTGTTATTGTAATTATTCATTAAAACTTACTTGTATTTGACAATTGAACATGTTCATTTAAACCAATAATGAATGATAATTCATTCAAAATTAATAACAAAATCATATTTAATAATATATAATATTCATATGGTAATGACTTCATTAAAACAAGATCCACTTAAGAAATTTTTAATAAAATCCAATTGCAATTTATTTATGTTTCTTGTATATTCTAATAATCATATGTAATGAATATTGTATTGAACTCAATAAATACTTTCTAATATACCATAATTTCAGTTAGTATATTCACATTCCAATATATTTGAGTAGTTACTACCGTGTGTTTTTAGACAAAATTTTTTTATTGTTTCTATTCACTTGAAACTGATTTATAATCTTTTTCACCTCATTTATTTTATTAATGTGATTAATAGTACAGTGAGAATGGTATTGGTCACCATGTATTTGATTTTATTTCACATGCATATATAAAATAGTGGTACATACATTCAAAATAATATGTGAAGATGGATAACTTTTAAAAGGAAACATAATGAAACCTAACTAATAACAACGGTTTAGTTTACCATAATTTTGCACACTAAAACACAAATAGACTAACTTTTATTTAACCAGTAACTTCATAGCACATTGAACATATTACACGCACACACACATACATGTACACACACATCTATGTAGATATGTGAATACACTACCTTTTTTAACCCTAGCAATCTTTCAACAAATTATCTAAGGCTGAATCATAAATTCACAGTATTAAACTTGGTACCAAAACAAAAAAAACTATATAAAAAATATTTTATGAATACTAATGGTTCTTCCACCATCCTATTTTGTATAGAAAAATAGTGATAAAAAATTTTATTGTGATTTGTGTATATTTTTTTTCTCTTTATGAAATAGGAAATTCACTAAATGAAAGGTAATAAAAATTTAAAGTAGATAAAGTAAAACAGTTAACTCAAAATTGATTGTCTAAAGATAAAATCAGCATAAAAGTGTTTGATTGAAATCCTCTTTTCATATACACATAAATCTACTGATGAATTTACTACTGAAGTAGTTTAATTAGTAATTTCTTAGAAAACCTATACTAATAATGTTTGTTTGTTTTTCAGAGTAAATTAAATTAAAGTTACTTTTACTTGCTTAAATCATTTATTATCAGAAGGGGTTTTGTGAAGTTATTAGAAATTTCACTGATTGAACTCATGAGTCGATTGAAGCTAGACCACCATGGAAAACGTGAAAGCATTGACTCATCAATTCAACTATTATATTACTATAATATCCACAAAACACTTCTCTGATTATAATCATCATATGCTCACTAGTGATAGCCTCCAAGAGATATTTCCTGAAGTTCTAGTGAGGAGCGATGGCCAGTGGAGTTCAACTGCATCAGTTATGATAGTGAATCACTGAAGACAATGGTAAACAGTGTTTCAATTTCACGGATCAGTTGAAGTTAGATATTAGAACAGTTAGACCTCGGTCGACTCAGTGGTCTAGAGGTTAAGCGTTCGCATGGGAGACTGATAGATCCTGGATTCGAAACTGGCTGTGCGGTATCGTGGACGCGCTCCGCTGAGGAGTCGTACAATAGGACGAAACTGCCGTGCAGTGCTTTGAGGCTTTCCATGTTGTTCTAGCTTCGATTGACTCATGATTTCAATCAGTAAATCATTTATGTTCACTTCTTTAGAAAAAAGGTTTGAGAAGAAAGAATATAATTGTGTTTTAACACTTAGCAAATTGGTAAAGACAGATAAAAACTTTTCCAGTTGATATATCATATATGTGTAAGTTGAAAGTGTTTTTTTCCTTTGTTTAGAATAAAGTAACATTTACTGTCTTGAAATGAAATAGAGTCATTTCTTTTTAAGGTATTTTGTCTAATGTTTGGATGAATTATTATTTACTTGTCTTATGATATTCATGATTCTTTTGAGATTGTAAATATTTGAATAAATTATGTTTTGTAAAGTGTAAATTATTAATTCAGAAAATATAAGGGAATGAAATAATTAATGTTTGTTTAGTTGATTACTGATTAGTTGATTGACTTACTCACTATATCTAATTATTTAGTAAGAAAGTTACTATCAGTGTTTTAAATGTTAACAATGAATCTTATTGAGACACTTGTTTGTAACATATATATGTTCTTATTCTTATACTGGAAATAAATCATTTAGTTATAACTGGAAATTAGCGAGGACAGTATCACTGAATGCGTCTATTTCACTTGATATTGTTTACTTAAATCTTCCCATTGATGTTTAGGGCTGCAATTAATCAGTCTCTTATTAGTACAAGTTCATACTGTCAGTATTGCCTCGATATTGCGTTAATTCACAAGCAGTATAAGCAAAGATGGATAATGTTTAGCAGTGGAATCCAACTTTGAGTATTAATAAACCACTCATTGTTTAGACAACATCTAACAATTCTATATAGTTTCAGTTAAACTTTGAGTATTAATAAACCACTCATTGTTTAGACAACATCTAACAATTCTATATAGTTTCAGTTAGAAAGATGATACTTTACAGTGATTGACCCTAATTTATATATATATATATATATATATATATATATATATATATATATATATATATATATATATATATAGTTGATGCGTTTTAACAGATTATTTGTTGAGATAGTATACAAAATAGAAGGCTTATAAACAATTTAATAAGACTTGAATTATAAGCTCTCAATAAATCAAAACTCATTCTCATATGCAGTCAAACAGCTGAAGTACAATGCTATGTGCCATAGAAACTAACTTCAAGATAGAAACTTATGAAATACGAAAGAACAAGTAACTGATAAAATTCTTAATTAAACATTTATTTGTAGTTTATGTTGTCATTCAACATATTTGAATATGAATTAGTTTGAAAACATATTACTTACTTTAAAAGATCATTCAACTTCAAGGTAGAATAAGGTAGGTTGATGACAAACTAGTGTTTTTCGATTGTTTGGTTGAACGAAGACATAATAATAATACGTTGAAAATAAATATATTCAGGAAATTCAAACATTCTGAGAGATACTTAGATTATCGTCCCTTTCATGCGCTGCGTACGGAAGTCACTGTTGTTAAAAGCTTAATTAACAGAAGTATTAAGCTAGTTACAGATAAAAAAGCCCAACAAGTTGAAATGAATAAAGTTTTGTCTACACTTGGGAATAACAACTACCCAAAAGAGTTTTTAAAGGTTATTAGAAATGAAAGAAATTAAACTAAAATGTAAACTGAAAGATCGGACATCCATCATTGTCATCTCATATCGTAGTAAAACATCGGAAGAAATAAAGCGGATTCTCAACAAGCATGATGTAAGATTCGAACCTAGGACCTATCGGTCTCGCACGCGAACGCTTAACCTCTAGACCACTGAGCCGGCCGAGGTCAAACGGTGTTAATGTCTAACCTCAAGCGATCCGCAAAGTTGAACCACTGTTCACCATTGTCATCAGTAAGTTACTATCTGACAACTAACTCGGTTGAACTCCATTGGTCACTGCTTCTCACTAGAACTCCAGGATATACCTCTTGAAGTCAGTCACTAGTGAGCATATATTGATTAGTATCAGAAGGGCTTTTGTGGAGATTGTATTAATTTCAATATTTGAGATCAAATCAAATCTTTAATGTTTGGGGTTGTCTAATACAAAGTGTTAACTTGAATCTGTTTTTAGGTCAAATGAAATTGTGAGATAAATGATCAAAATAAATATGGTCAACATGGGGTGAGAGCGAGAGAGAGAATAATGCAATAAAAATCAGAAATTACGTAATATGCAGAATAATATGAATTAGGTCAGATATTTTAGAGAGGAGTGGATGCTGAATAAATTTCTGAAAAAGGTTATCAAGTATAATAATAATAATAATATTGGGATATTAAAGAGGAAGAATATTTTTGTAAAATCTCAGTGAATGAATTTGAAATAAATCCAACGTTTCGCCTGGCAGTCTGGTCCAAGCTTTTTCAAGTCAATATAATCAGACATTAAAATTAGCGAAACAATAATAATGATAAAAAATAGTAATTAGTTTGGGACATAAAAATGAACATTAATCACCTTACGTCATCATATTGTAAAACTGACTACTAACTAGTTGACCCCGAAGTTGACCAGGGTAAAAAAAGCAGCTAAACATATTTCTTTTGGATACAAAGCTCTGGCCTTTTGATTAGAAATTTGTGGATTATTAATTTGGATTTCTTATCGTAGAACCAAATGAGAAATTATTCAAAAGAATATTCTTCGTTCATATAATTGTGTTTTAATATAATGCGAATAGTTCAAGTGAATAAATCATACTTTCATTCTATATTTACTTTTACAGAATGTATTCAAAACAGTTTTACTGATTAGTTCATAACAACATCAAACTGACAGAATATAAATAATATACACTTAGTAGATTTACCAAACATTTCAAAATATTAATGACAGATAGTGGCTAGCAGTGGAATCCAGGACGCGCTTTTCGTCCTATTTGGGACTCGTCAGCTGGATGTACCTGCATCTCAGAGTTGACGTTCACTCTGGGACTCGAACCCAGTACAATTCGCTTCAGACGCCATCGCGTTATTCACTCAGCTACTGGGTCGTGATAGCCACATGCTTGTGCAATGGGGTGAATTTAAATTCAGAGTGAACATCAACTCTGAGATGCAGGTACATCCAGCTGACGAGTACCAAACAGGACGAAACGCGCGTCCTGGATTCCACTGCTAGTTACTATTTATCATTGCTTACAAAGCATGTGAATTAAGGCAATATTGAGGCATACTCACAGTATGTACGTATGCCAATAACAGACTTATCAATTTCAGTCTTAAACCTCAATGGGAAGATAAAAGCCAAACAATACTAAGTGAATTTCAAAATATTTATTTCATAAAGTAATAAAAATGTTTTATTGTATATTTTCATTAGCTGACTAATACCTTTAGTTTATCAACTGGAAAATTATTGAATCTTATTATTAACATTAGTATTAGTAGAATGAAATTATTTAAGTAAAGTGTGAAGAAAGTTAATCATTATGTACAAAAGTATTACAGAAATCATTTTAGTTTATACAAGAAATTTGATAAATATTTATTTATACTAATGAAAACAAAAAACCATCAACAAAGTCTATTAACTATCAGTCTCATAAAAACATAAAATAGTCTAGTGGGTAGATGATATAAGTGAACAATACCAAGTGAATATAACTTCACCCCATTGTACAAGTAGGTAGTCTAATGTTTATTTTATAAGAATTGAGTAATTTTATTTTTATAATCATTAAATGTGTCATACTGTTTTTATTCTATTGAACATTAGATACTTTAGTGGTTCAAAATCTAAAATAAAATAAAACGATCAGGATATTTCATTTATTTATTGTGATCTTTAATTAATTAAAGATGGATAAAATAAATTAATTAATATATATTTGTAATATCCCAGTGAGTAGAAAAATTAGATGTTCTGACGTTTCGTAACCTGGTGTAAGCTACTTCTTCAGAGAATAAATAACCAAATTAAAATTA